GCCGGGGCCCCACGCCGCTCCGGGCGACTCGGGAGCGCGGTGGGCGGTGGGCGGCTCGTTGAAAACTCCGAGGCCCGGGAACCGCGACCCGTCCTCCTCGGCCAGTCCCGTCCCGCACACACCTCAAGATGCGCAGAACCGGGAATCCAGATCCCAAAGCCCCGAGATCCTCTGCTCGCCCGGCATCCCAGCCCCCTTAGGCCAAGAGATGTCATCTGGAGGTGGAGTCCTGGCATCCGGGGGTGGTGTCTCAGCACCGGGGCTCCTCATCCCCAGGACACTTACAGAGTGGGCTGGGGTCGCACGCGGTACAAGCCCTAGCCGGGCAGAAGCGCCCCTGCCCCGGCTCCCTGGACCCTCCCCTGCCAGCCCGGCCTTCTTGCGGGCTTTCTGCCCCTGAGCGCGGAAATCAGGCGGCTGTGCCACGGGCTCGGAAGTGGAGACAACGGTGTGTCGGCGTCCACGCTGTGGCACGGAGCTGCGGAACGTGGCCAGCCTCCGCCCTGCCCTGCTGCCCAGCCTAGCCCTGCCCAGGGCTCGTTAGCCTTAGAGGTCCGAGCGCCCAGCGCTTACCCAGGTGCGGTGAGGAGAGACGGGGAAGGGGAAAAGGGGCTGCGGAGCCGCCTCCCCAGAAGTGGGGATCCGCCCCCTGAAGATGGGGACCCAAACCTCCTTCCACCGCCTCCTTCCCGGCCCACTTGGGACGCGTGAGCGGGAAGGAAACGGCGGGGGTTCGTTTGTAAATGTTAAGGAGACGAAACCCCAAGCCCGGATTGTTGTCATTGGTGTTGTCCTTGCAGGAGGGGAAGGGGTGGGGAAATGCTCGTGCTGGGGAGGAATCTGCTGGGTCGTCCCAGCCGCGCCCCCCGGCTCCCCGCCGGTCCGGGGAGGGGATTGTTTGGATTCGAAGCTGGATCCGACTTTGCGATCGCAGTACAGCGCCCGGGAGCCCGGAGTCCCTGCGCTCTGCAGGATGGCGACTGACTGCCTCCCGTCCCCGCTGGGACTGGTGCGAGCATTTCTTTAGCCCCAGATGGCCTAAAACAAAGTAAGAACTAAGATAAAAATAGGTGTGCTCCAAGAGAAGCGTCGCCCCTCGCTTGGAGAGCAGCCACGAGCAAGACGGTTATTACCAGGCGGCTGTTGAAACCACTTGCCCGGCTTAGGGTGACCGAGGACCGAGTCTGAAAGACCCTCGCCCCTGGCCAGCACCCCCTGGGGGCCTGGGGGGCGGAGGAGCAGCAGGAGCCCCACCCCCCCTGCTCGCGCGAGAGAATGGGGAGGAGGGGCACCTGTCCGAGGCTGTCCGAGAACTGCACCCGGCCCTGCCGGCAGGCTGGGACCGGAGCTGGGAAGATTGGGGTCCCCGATCCCGTGGAGGTGGTGCAGCGCCTCCTCCAGGCTCCCCACCGGGCTCTGCTCCAGTCCTGGGGCTTTGGGCCGAGCCGCGGGTTTCACCCTCTAAGACCCGATCTGGGGTGCAGTGTTAGAAGCTGTCCGGACTGTGCCCCCCAGCTTCGTCCCTGGCGGTCCGCGGCCAGGGGCGGGCGGGACGTGGTCACTCGCACCCCGCCAGTCCCGAGCTGTCCTTCCTTCCCGGGACGCGCTCGCCCAGACTGCCCCGAGGAGCGGAGCCGCCTCCCGGCCCGGGGCGCGCGGCGGGCCGAGGGATCGGTGGGCACCGAGGGTCCGCGCCGCTCTCGGGATCCCCCGGGGCCCAGAAGCGTTCGCTCGGGGAAGGCCGCACCGACGATCGCCATCGCGCCGGGAGCCTGCATGGCCGGGGCCGCCCGAAGGCTCGCGCAGCGCCGATGTCCGCAACCCCGGCCTCCGGCGACCCCAGCTTCTCAGCTGAAAGCGGGAGCCCACGCCTGGAGTATCCAAGACAGACCCCACCGCCCCCGAGGCCCGCGCGCCCCTGGTGCCGGCTGGACCCCCGGACGCCGCCTTCTCCTCCGGGCTGACAGAAGTGGACGGACCCGGATCCCCGCCCGCGGAAACCGAGGCG